AACAATTTTCTTCAAAACCCACGGACTTAAAACGAAATTTAATCACCCAAAAGTTAATCAAAACAAATTTGAAGAAAGCATATAATGTAAAAAGTGAACAGAAAGCAATTATAGAAAAACAGACACGATACAGTACATGTTTTACTAGAAATAACTGCGTCGAGGAAAATGAATGAAAGAACATAAGAGGTGACAATAAACAGGAAACTCCGAGCTATGTTAATTCATATATTTGAAACTTAAATTTGCGAAACATGTAACCAAAACAATAACCTCTTTAATCCAAACAATAGTTCAGAAACCCTAAGGTATCCTTCTACAGAAACGAGAATGCGAATACAACACAAGGAAAACAGAAAAATCAACAAAGGTTTCGTAAGTAGATGTTTTACCTTTTACGAGGAGAATCGACCTGAAAAGTAGTACAAAAACTATAATAAATTCGCCACTTAATAAAATTACATTATCAACAGACCATCAATGAGAAATATGTTTCTATGTACATATGTACCAAGATATACATAGAGGGAGAGGGCTTGCCATTTTTGCACGTCAACAAGTTCTTGGGATTAGCGCCTGGTTTATTCCGAGCGAAATTGCAGATGGCAGTTATTCGGCAGTCTGCCTAAATAGTATCTCCTTTTGGCTCTGTTTAATTAAAAATTATAAATAAACAAGTCTTACACTAAGCGTGTATTTTATGGATATTAGTGGAAAAATAATATATTTTAAATAGTAATATAATGGGAAATATGTGATTAAAAAATAAAGAAAAATTATTGATGTGATGGAAAATATTATTTTATTGAAGAATGTGTGGTTGAAAATGAATAAAAGAATGTGAATGAAAAAAATAATGTGACTCAAACGGGACCTATATTTTGTTTTGAATTTTCAAAAAAAAAAAAAAACTCATTGCATTCAAACTCGAGGAGTAAAATATAAAAATGCGTAATACTATTTGAAATTACTCGGGTCAAACACTGGAAAATCCTTATATTGTTGTTATAAAATTTATTTTGAACTCGTAAATAGTGAATGCTATCATTAAAATGAAAGCCGCTATTTACATCTACAATTATTATACATTCATCACACTTTATATTCATTGTTATTCAAATATTAAAATTTTTAAAAATTATTATTGTCATCAACTTCAAATTTCAATATTGTCCTTATTAAATTCATTCATTTAATCAGTATAAATCTACACAAATTTTATATGTTCATTCCACCATAAATATATCCCTAATACAATTTCAAAATTTTAATAAACACTATATTCATCCAAATATTTAATGTAAAGTAACTGAAAAGATAATACTTCCGTATAAAGTTATAAGCCATTAATGGTGCGGGCAAGACTCCCATTTTCTCATATGATTTTGTTCTTTAAAAAACAAAAACAAAATTTGTCTTAGTATATTTTCTCTAATGGTAATACTAAATTCATCAAATTCGTAATAAAATTAATGTTTTCAAAACCGGACTAGCCGGTCCGACCGGTAAAATCGCGAACCGATACAAAAATCGGTTCGATTAATATTTAAAAACCAGATATTTAAGAACCGGCCAACTAGCCGGCTGAACCGCAAAACAAGCCGACAACTTTTTCATTTAGCCCAATCTTTAAAGCCCAAATGTTTTACATATCTTAAAGTGATCAGCTCTTTTATAACATTTTTCTCTAGTACTTTAATACATGGAAATCGATGTGGGATTTGGAGAGTGAGAAGAAAATATGGAGAATGATAGAAATTGGAGTTGTGATTTTATTCATGAGAAACCATCAATTTATAATACAACTCAATAAACTAAATATGTAAAGATAAATAACAATTCCTAAAATTAAGCACATCATNTGTCACATGTTGTGATGGTTTGAATTCGCCCTTTTTTGCGAATCTTGTGTATCCCATATTGCATGGGTTGTGTCTCGGAGAATTTGTTCCGAGAATGTTCCGATGATTCGGACTTTTGATAGGCAATGGATTCATACGTTGATTTTTGGTATGAATTTTTGTTGTTGCTATTTTGTTTGAATTTGGTGTGGGGGGTATTGATTTGTATTGTCCGGATCTTGAAGGATATACTTGGAGGAAGATAACGTGAGAATCTGTTACTAGTTGTGCCCAAAAGATTCCTGCAATCCTTCACAAAGTGCTGATTTTCTATTCTTATTCTGAAGAAGTCAGCTACAACATCCTCAAAAGTTGAGACAGAACGTCAGTTTTAAAGGAAATCCCTCGAAATTAACAAATTTATTTTCTTGTTTCGCATGGAGAAATTGAGCACAATGGCCACTGTTGAACAAAGTAGAATAAATCAAATTGTTATGTATAGGTAGATGAAATCATGATGGCATGGAGAAGAAAAATTGATGGATAAGCTTTAGAAAAAAAAAAAGCTAGAAGAAAATGAAAATGAAAAAAAAAAAGTTGGCCGGACGAGCGGCACTAGGCCGCTCGCCGGAAGCGGAAGCTCGAAGCCTGCTCTGATACCAAGAAGAAAATATGGAGAATGATAGAAATTGGAGTTGTGATTTTATTCATGAGAAACCATCAATTTATAATATAACTCAATAAACTAAATATGTAAAGATAAATAACAATTCCTAAAATTAAGCACATCATCATAATCATCAATCATCTTGATCTTCAATGATTTATCTTGATCTTCAATGATTCCTTGATTTTTTCCATCAAATATTTTGTTGCTGTTAATAGAGTGTTAGTTTCTTTTCTCCATTTATTAGCTCGGGTGCTCCCGCCTCATTATCAAGAAGTTTTTCTTTTGTTAGTTACCGTGAATCTGTGCATAAAAAAAAAACCCAAAATTATGGTCCCCAATTCACTGAATGCCTAGCTTTGCCCTTTTCAATTTAAAAATCCGTTGCACAAAACAAGGTTTAAGTACCATTATTTGGGTTTTAAGATCAACATTCTTGATCTCTACTGTTTTTGTTGTAGGTAGATAATTTGATTAACAAGGTGAGTAACCAGAAGATTCGAAGTTAGAATATAATATCAAATGACAAAATAGAGAAAACAATCTTTATTGGCTGCAGGGCACTCGTTCATCAATAATGATGTAAAACACTAAAGCTGGGAGGAAAAGATGTAAGTATCTCTTCATCGGCAACATTTTGTGAACTTTCCTATCGATTTGAATCTTGAGCTTTATCAATCGTTCATCAACATTGATTTCTTGTGTCATATAAGTCATTTTTGAAAAAATAGCATAATTTGTCAAAAAAAATTTGATGAATTTATATATTAATATTTTATTTATTATCAACGGTTCGACCCCGATTCGACTTTTCAACCCTTGACCCTCTAGCTTTTCCGGGTCGATTTTTAAAACATTGAATAAAACACAATCATTATTTTTTTAAAAAAATTATTTTTCATATATTGCTATGTTTTCATGTATTTCATCTAATAATAATTCTTCAATTGTTGTTTTGATTTCAATTGAAAATGATATTTTATGATTTTCGATTGAAGATAAAATTTTATGATTAATAGCCCCATATTAGGTGCCATTTTCCAACATAGGTTAGGTGACAACTATTACATCAGGATCCCCAACAGTAAAGTAAGATAAATCACACGTAATTTGATTATTCTTGTATCCAAATTAAATAGAATAAATCGTATAACACTAACAATTGAATTTTTGCGATCGATCCAAACAAAAGAGTCAATAAGACCAATTTAAATCTCCATGATTGAACAAATGAGTCAAAACGATCAATCAAATCTTTACTATCGACTTCAGACAAAAGAATCAAAATGACCAATTAAAATTCCATAGTTGACTTTAAACAAAAGAGTTATGTGACCAATTAAACATTTGCTTTCAAATTGGAAAACACCATGCTAATACGCAAAAATTCAAGACTGGCGACTGTGGAAAGATAATCATGCTTAGCTCTACGAAGCTTTAAGAACGGGGCATAAATAAATATTTTAGATGTCATAAAATTCTTGATGTGAACGTACAAAAGAACATACATAAATTACTAAGGTTTGCTTAATAAGGATCCCCATATGAGCATTACAACAACTATGGATACATCCTTGGCAACACAAAAAGAAGGAAATTCAAGCCCATGGGGGTGAAATGCAAATGTCATACATGTACTTGTACTCATAAGAAGTAAATACATAGCATTACCCTTGTGCATCGGCATCATACTTGACATTAATGTTGTTGGTTCTGATGAACATTGACATAGGATCGTTGACGAAATCCAAACAAAATGATTTGATTACTCGTAAGTAATGTATAAATGGCCCAATTGCACCAAATCGAACTTCAGTGGCCTAATGGCCAGTTGAAAGTGTGGTAAAAGTTTAGTGACCTTTGATACAATTTACCCACCTTAAAGCGTTGAACGTATTTTTACATACTTTATTGCCTGTGTTTGATTTAACTAAAAAAATGGATTTTTAGCAGTTTTTAATAAAAATTGATAAAACTTGTGATTGAAAATACAAACATTATAATTTCATGAAAACTGTAGTGACAAATGAGTTTGAATAAAAATGAATTTTAAAATGACGGGCCAAACAGAGGCACTATTTTATTTGAATAATTTATTTTACATTCAAGTAAAAAAAATTGTTTTAATATTTTGTAAACTACCTAATATTAATTCTACCTAATATTCAAATTATTAATTTTAAAACTCTTTTAAAGCTTGGTCAATCATGAAAATTATGCACTACGAAATCTCCTCGCATACAGATGAATAGTTCAACTATGGCAACAGCAGCCGCTGCTGCTTACCCTCTTTCACTATCCACTTCTCGTCACCACCCTTTTCCGCCTACTATCCTAACATTTTCCAAAAGGTCCTCCTCGTCCCTCCAATTCTCTTTCCAGTCCCAATATGACGCCAGTGCAGACGTACAAGAGGAAGATAGCGTCATCGGCGACTGCCTTGTCTTCGAGGAAGGCATTTTTGATGACCCATTTCTCCAAAAAAGCCCCGACTTCAGAAATAGTGAAACCCAAACCAGTACGAGTAAAAATAGTAAAAGTAGACGTAAAATTGATACAACAGAGGTTAATCAAGAAAATTTGATTCCGGAAAAATGGTTGGAAATTCAGAGGGAAATTAGCATTACGAAGAAGGAGAGGCGAAAGCTCGCCCAACAACTGGAGTACGGTAAAAAAGTGGAGAAGAGAAAGCAAGGGCTGAGGCCTATCAGTGTAGAGGATTTCAACAAAATTAAGGATGAGAAATTGAAGCAATTGAAGCCTATTGTGCTCGAAGATCCGAACCTGAGGTCTTTTGAGGGGAGTGATGATATAAAGAGAAATGTCGATAAGGGTGATGACTGCAGAAGTGGAGTGGGGATTAGTGGTAGAGTGGCAGCGAGGAACCCGAGGTTCGCGGTGTATGGAGGAGGTTTGGAGGATATTTCCGAGTTTTTCAATAGTGGGAGTTATGATCCTGATGCTGCTAAGAAACCAAGAGGTACCTTTTTTAGTTCCACAGAACCAAGGTCGAAAAGATTGATGTTGCTTGAGTACTTTATATTGAATTGTATATTATAGCTGCCTGCCTGCTAATTAGAATAAGAGAAACTCCGTTTGCAAATGCTTTAATTTCTTATAGTTTTGCAACCCTTTTCTGCATATTTACCCCAGCACCATTGCTATCACGATCTTTATGCAATTGGTCTTTTTTTTATTTATTGTTAATTGGCTTTTTTGGCTGTTATAGATTGAAACAAACCCAATGTGGCCCGATGGTGTAGATTTCTGCATATGTTCAGTACTTGTTGTGTGCATTTTAAGTAATAAAGCATTAGGACTCTGGAGATGAAGAAGTTTATATTCCAAATGTTTAAGTGATGTTGCTTCAACATGGCGAGTAAATTGTAAAGCGACCATGCCACAAGTACATAATCATTTACATAATACATTACATAATTAACATGTGGCCCGCATCCATCGGTAGTCTACAATTTTTGACTTTTCCACACTTTACATCCACGGCTTGATTTCTTCCACATGATCCTATGTAATCCATTATGTACGTATAGATTTATCCATTGTAAAGAGTCATCTCCTGTCAAAGTATCAAAATTTTGATTAATCCAACCCCCCCGCGACCACATCATCATCATAATTTTCACGACAGGGATGACAAACAGTGGATTTTTACCCCTAGAAATAAATATTTGATCATGAGCTTCATTTTCATAACTGCATAGTACTCCTCAAACCTTGATATCTATATGTCCATCAGCAATAACATACTGAAATTGATCTCTTATGGTAGTTTGCTCTTTTCGGGAAATTAAGTGGGCGTAGTTGGTGCTTATATTTTTCTCCCTCACTCTCTCCTTTATCACTGTAGATATCCATCGTCCTGACCTTCGGCATCTTGTTCTGTCATTCTACTTAAATAGGTACAAACAAGTTGTTCACAAAGGAGGAAAAGTTATTACTGAATAGGAGGATCCCTGATCTCGCAGTTGCTAGCTCAGTAAGTTCCCCATTTCTGAACGTTTCTTACTTTTCTGTTAGTTTGTGATGGCCCAGTATATTGTTTTATATATATTGCAAGACTGGACTGATACTAGCATGCAATTGAAAAGCGATTTGCTTCTAACCTTGCGTTAGCATAGAAATTCTGCATGTTTATATGAATACATCTCACTGCTGTTAAACTGTTCACTGGTCGAGCAGAAAGACTTGGCTTCTTTACCTCAAGAAAATTAAATTTTCACTTGAAATTCCCTACGATTGTGATAAAATATCTTTTCCTCATATGTAAGGTTACAAAAAAATTAACTGAGGGGATTGGTTCTGAAAATGCACGTCTAATTTATCAAGTTTTGTCTAGTCAATGAAATAAATGAACCAGACTTCCTCTTTTTCGTTTGTATGCTAAATGAGCCAAGTTCTTTACACAACTTTTGAGTTTCAAATTTGGATGGTTTTCGATTGTTTTAATAGTTAATGCTACAGCATTGTACCATCACGAGTCATTTTTGTAGATTTTGTTATGAAAATTAAAGTTAGTCAGAGATTTAGAGCTAGATTTTTAATTAGAGCCACTTCCACTGGTTATCTCAGTGAAGTACCTCCCCGCCTGGCCGCATAAGCCTTTTTTTTTTTCTTTTCTGATTTTATATTAGGACAATGATAATTATTTTTATTCATAAGTTCTCTTTCTCCAAACAAATTTGTTTGCTGTCTCTATGTAGTTCTCTTTTTACCGAACAACATATGCTATTATACTACATTAACAACAAGCAAGGCTTTCCTCTAAAACTTAGGTTTGCATGCATACTAATTTTTCGTTCAGTTCAATCCAATGCCAAAAACTTTTTGCAACTTCATTTGGCAATCGCAACTTTGGTCCACCTGAGATCACACTGATCTTGTAAATGGAAGCTTCTTTAGGCCTATGCAAGTCATGCCCAATCCATCCAAATTTTTCCACCCTTAATTTGTCCTCAGATGGCGCCATCTACTCCTGTCGATCCTTATTTCTTATCTCATGTATATTCATCATGAATATTTCTCTCTTAATAGTCTTGCACTCACAATATGTGGCATTATGCTAATTCATGAATTTTTACGTAATCATTTTCAGGGGAAATGGCATCCTGTACATACTCTTGCTGCCTCTGGAGAATTTTACCTGATGACTTCTTTGTTAAAACACGGTGTTGATATTAATGCCCCTGACAAGGTGCACCGCGTGACAACTACCATCTGCATATTTTTATTTCATATACATTTTGCCTGCTCCTTGTATGCTTATAAGTTTGTATATTCTTGTCATAAACTGATGACATTTCTTCAAATTACCTTATTGTTATTGGGTCTGAATTCCCTTTCCTGTTATTACGTTTTCTTTTCTGACAGGATGGATTGACTGGGATTCACAAAGCAATACTTGGAAAAAAACAGGCTATTTTTAACTTTCTTCTGAGAGAATCAGCAAATCCATTTGTTCGTGACAAAGTAAGCAGGATTTTATTTTAGTTCTCAAAATTCTTTGCATGCATAGGCTGTGATCACAGAATCTTTCTTCCTGTGCTACCGTGATTTTATTCTTTTGTATGTGCGTGGTGGTTTTGCATATACTTCAAATGCCTGGCATCGGAACCCTAAACCCTGGCATCGCTTTTGCACTTTTGTTCTTGGCAGTGAGAACTAATCGGGCACCATTCACCACGTCATTCAGCTTGTTTATAACAAGGGGACGAGGAAGCCTATATGGTGTTTCAAATTTATTTTCCGATTTCCAACATCTTATTTAAATGTAAAGAGTTACGGGTGTTCAATTCTGAAACTAGAGTTGTTATAACCTTCCTTTTAAAAGAGTGAAGCTGCATATGCATAAGTGCACTCAGATTGTGGAAGTATTTTATGGAATCATTTAGTTAAAGGCTTATTAAAAAATCTCCTGTTACCGTCTGTATCATTTACCATGATTTGTTATTTTCTTATCACTTTCTACTCCAAGCAGCTAAATTCTTAATTTTGTGCTGATGGCAGGAAGGGGCTACCTTAATGCACTATGCAGTTCGCACGGCTTCAAGTCAGATGATAAAAATTCTTTTATTGTACAACGTTGATATAAACCTTCAGGATAATGTAGGATTACTACTTTGATCATCAGAAAACCACGTTCTTTAGCTAATATGAATGTTGAGAATCTCCGTTTGATTCCCATGATTAATTTAGCTTGACATTTAAATTTTTCCAGGATGGGTGGACAGCATTACATCTTGCTGTTCAATCCCGTAGGACAGATATAGTGAGGCTTTTGTTGATTAAGAGAGCTGATAAGACTATAAGGAACAAGGTAAACATCTAGAACTTGCTTGGAAAGTCTTAATCCAATGTTTCTGCTCCACATGCACTTCTTATATTGATGTTCTTAGCTAGTGATCATTTATCAGATTCTCACTCGTCATCATAACAGGTGCCCTATATGCTATTCATTTTTTTGATGCCACGTTAATATGGGTCACTTATTTTCACTGTTAAATTATAAATGTAGCAAATAAAAGTTGTAGGATGCTTGCATGTAATAGGAACTAGCCAATCGACAAACATCCAATTATACATTCTCACACTTTTAGCCAGTGGTACGAGACATTTCTGCTACATTTAGACCTTATGACGTTAAGGAACAGTCACAATATATAAAATTAACAGGAGTGGACATGGAGTCGTTTGTCTAACGTGTAAGTTGATTGGCTTTAGTTTTTATATGAGATCATTGTTACTTCTAAAAACTTAGCAATTTGATTTACTTTGAGGCAGCTTATGTTTAAGGTCTTTTGTGTGACGTCAGTGTTAAAAGGACCTCTTATGCTCTCCTACTGCTGTTGTTTTCAGGACGGATTAACTCCACTTGACCTTTGCCTCTATGCTGGAAGAGACAAGAGAACTTACGAACTAATCAAACTGATCAAACAGGTTCCAAAACGTCCCATTATCTCATAAGACAGCAAATCCACCAAGCATTGCCCTAAATGTCATTTTCGTATCTCTGCCTATGATCGATTCTGTCAATCACGAAGCGGATGCAGATGATTACTTGATGTAGCGTCAGATTTAGACATACTCGGCTGCTTTATGATGGAATATCACTCTCTGTAATGACTTTGTAGGCAAAAGTTTACGGAAATGTAGAGCTTGACCATGCCCTCCCCACATTTACCTGATGATACATGTGTACGTATAGTGCTCTTTCACATCCTTTCGACTAATTTATGAGTCACTTGAGTTGGAAATATGTGCTCCATGAGAACGATTTTTTTTTTTTTTTTTATTGGGGATTAAATTTGTTTCTA